CTTCTGTATGTGAGGGGCGGACGCTCGAACCTGCAACATTGCAGTTTCAACGTCCCCGCCCCCCACCCCCCCGGCCCCAGCAGACAGTTCTGGAGCATGTTCGGCAAGCACTGCGTATTCCAAGCTCCAATTATGTGTGTGCGACCTGCCCGAGAAGGCAGCATGACAGGTATCCAGTCGGAGGCAAGATTAAGATTGGGGTGACCACAATGCACCGCATGCTCTGATGCACACGAGCAGGGACGTGGGGCGCAAAGGTGCTCTTACACACAGGGTTGCTTGTGGCCCGACGTTGAAGCGACCACAAGCAGTCAGCATTGGGCAACCCACAGAAAGCATCCTGCCTGCCGAGGCACGTGATATTGGGAGGGTTTCGGGACTGGGATGGCGTCAGGAGCCCCGCTCATAAACAGCCGATAGTTTGTCGGAGTCTTCTCTTCTGGGCTGCTGTGGGACACCCTTGGCCTTGGCCGGCCGCTATAGCTGTAGCCCTCGAAAAGGATCGAAAAGGGACCAGCTCGCTATTGGCCTCAAGAATTCCGATGAGGCCTAGAAGCCAAGGAAGAAGAACACACGAAAGGAGATTGCTGTTTCGCGGCTAGTGCGCGTCCTAGAGGCAGACCAATATCTTTGCCCTCAGCGGAAACAACGGAAACAAACAACTGCAATCTTCGACTCTTCAACGTTTGAAGTTGCAGGTTTGCCTCCACGACTGCAATGTTGCACTTGGGAAGGTCCCCCCCCTCATGTCGCGTCGTAAAAGAGGGGGATGGGAACTTCTTCTGCACAGCTCCCTTGCAAGAGCGGACCCATTCTGAGTGGCCAGCAATCGGCACCCTGGCAGGTGTGTGCACAACAATGGGAGGACAGGAGATGTCTGACTGTCATGAGCTTGCATGACAAAGAGTCCTTCGGACCTGAATCTTATGCGAAACTCCCAGTCACCCGAAACACACACGAGTATGGCTCAAAGCCCGGTTTGTCGCGGAAAGAGAAGAGGATTTCCAATGGGATGGGAACCTTTGCTTGGTTACTGCGTGGGCCGGTCAAGTCTGCGCGGCGTTGTATCGGCCGACTTCGCGCGCAACCCCACCAGCTGTCACAGAACTTCTGCACAGCTCCCTTGCAAGAACGGACCCAGTCTGAGTGGCCAGCATAGGCACCAGGGCAGCTGTGTAAACGACAATGGGCGGACAGGGGGTGTCTGAAGGGCATGAGCTTGTATGACAAAGAATCCTTAGGGAAGTCTGAACATGGCAATCACATGCGCAGCGCTAGAAGGTCAAGCAAGCATGACTGATCGGATCTGACTCTTAGGCAAAACTCCCAGTCAACCGGAACAGACACGAGAGTGGCTCAAGACTCGCAAACATGGTTCCCACTGCTGGTTTCCGATCAGCGCAAGCGGCTCCAACCTCCCTTGGCGAGATCCTGCTTTGAGGGTCAGTGGAGCATGTGCTGCCACATGCTGCTGGGCTTCTTGACGCTATGCTACAGGCTGAAACATCTGACGCTCTTTGCCAGCTGCTCGGCCCCACCTGTCGCACCGGACATTGGGCAGGATCAGTGGGTCGAGCCCTCAAGTTTGGCTGGTACCAGGAAGCCGTGCGAAGCTCAACTCGCCTGAACCTGCGGCTTCCTCGTCACTGAAACGAGCTATTCAGCAGAGGAAACGAAACCAAGAGGTTCGTCATAAAGAATGGTTCAGAGTGATCCACCTGTGCAGACCAGGTTGGCGATCAGCACGAGCTGCTCCAGCCTCCCTCGGCGAAATCCGGCTTGCAGGTTCAGTTAAGCATTTGCTGCAGCATGCCCACAGGCCAAAAATCCTAGGACACTCTTTGCTGACCGATCGAACCTGCATGTTCCTCCCAGTCACGCTGAACACGGACACTCCCACAAAAAGGGACTTCCCCAAGTTCATGCGCAGGGCAGGGGCATTGGGCAGGATCACGGGGTCGAGCCCTCAAATTTGGCTTGTGCCAGGGAGCGGCACTGAGCACAAATCGACTGAACCGAACAGAACAAAAGGTTCGTCATCAAGAATGGTCCAACACTGCTGCGTAAGAGGGTTTGCGATCAGCGCGAACTGATCCAACACTGCTGCCAAAAAAGGGTTGCGATCAGCACAAGCTCCAAAGCTCACAGCGAAGAGCGAAACTCGCGACACATTCATGGAGTTGGCAGCTACAGCTACTGACAAAGTGGATCTTGCCTCAAGTCTGGTAATGAAAGGCAGGCACGCTGAGGAGGGCGGCAACGGGGATTCTCCTGCGTTCTGGAAGCACTCCCGCCTTGTGAAGGAAGGTCCGACACCTTGAAGATGTCTTCCCAAAACCACATGAAGGGATGCAATCGGCGGTCTCAACGGACTAGCGAGTGGCAAGGCTGGAAGGACACGCTGTGAGCGTGTGGCACGAAAGAAGTGGCAAGTAATGAACATCCTGCAAGTAAGGTCGGCATCACGATAATCGGGATGCGACAATCTTAAAGGCCATCGGCAAGATTACCTGGCGAGAACACACAGTGGTAACGACGTCCCAAACAAAGAAGTAGAACTACATGCACTTCCACGCACCCAACAAGTCCATTTCTTTGAAATGCCCAATCTTTCAGCTTCATCAAACACAAACTAACCAAAACAATACGCCATCAAGGCTATCAAGCCCAACTCAATTCATGTTTGCACAGAAGCTGCACACATTCGCCTGACCTCTCCAGGCATCTGCATCCTCGACAACGCTGCCGTCAACCTCGGCCGGCCGTTCCCGAGGCCCAAAAGACTAATCTCTCTCCACTGCTACGCTAAACGCGACAAACGGCACCGAAGGGTTTCTCGAAGGTTCCTCAAAGAAACACAACCACATCTTGTGCGTGTGCAAGCATTGTTCCGCCCGAAAAGTGCTTGGCAGCATGCTCTTTGAAACCGTGAGATGGAATCAGGCTAAAGAACCATCAACAATACAAATGTGTTTGCAATTTGTGAGCACATCGGCGCATCTTCGAAATCAATTTCTGCTCCTAGACCATTCTTTCGCTTTCCAGACCTTCCACGTGTCCACATGGTGCACCTGTTGCTCAAACCGACCCCGTGTTTTCAAGCAAACTGGGTGGGGCAAACTTGACAACAAACAACAAACTTCCAACAGCCTACCTAAACCTTAATTCTGAAACAAGTGTGATCCAGAATGCCGGCACTCAGCAAGCTGGTGCAAAGCAAAATACAATAAAGTATATTGGTTGCGGCTACTGGTCGTTGAACGCTGTGCGAAGGGAAAGGCTGAAGCAAAACAGTTGAAGTGCAGTTCGGCGACTTGCGCCTCTTCGCTCTCATCGGAACACTGTGCAGATGGTCTGGAGGAGACATCCCACTGCTGAATCAGAGAAACAGCTGCGGCAGACGCACAGTGCTTAGAGAACAGAGAGCGCGCCGCGCCGCGCATTTCGGGATTGAATATTGTCAGCTGCAAGCCTCCTCCGCAAACTCATGCCAGCGGGATTTCTGATCTCTGATGGTTCGGGTTTATAGGGTTTAAGGGTTCAAGTGATAACCGCCTAGATTTAATTCCACACCCGTATGGTCCCACAGCTGCCACGGGGACTGTTTATGACACGGCGCAGCTGGAAATGGCTCCACTTCAGAATTTGCATCGCTGCCCTAAAAACTCGGCCCTTTTGCAACATAGAAGCGGGTCATATAGCTAACTGCACTGAATTCCGTGCCACCTCACCTGTCTCAAGACCCAGACGCTCAGAGTGCAGGTCAGACGTTGGTGTGCGGTCAAGGGATCAACATTTCTCTTGCATGCTTCATGGAAACTCGGAATTGCCAAAACACTTTGCAAGTTGTATGGGGCCTTTCGCACTGACAAGCCAGGAAGCAGGAACCGGGAAACTCCCCACAATCTAAGTCTCGAGATCCATCAGCACCCGTGGGTTGTAGAGGGGCATCGAGCGCCTGTAGATGGCATGGGTTTCAGCTGTCACGGCGTTGTCAGGGGTTTTGGTTTTGGCTTGGATCAGGGGCACTCTGTGCCAGCGTTGATCTCATATTGTTTCTAGCCTTCCATCGAAGGTACATGGGTTGCAGGTTGTCCCTTGAAATCTGAGCGCCCGCTGTACATGATCCTGACAGGCCCTGCTTCCATTGGAACAGGATGAGCTCCAGCGAGTGAACTCCCGACGCCTAATTTTCAGACCCTTAATCCGTACTTCTCAAGTTCGAGGGTCTTCCGGCCCATCCTGACTTTCTTAGACACACCGCCAGCTTCGACCAGCTTCAACTTCATGAGGGTTGTCACGCGCCATATTCAGCGTGCCATTGTTATCTATCCGACGGTGTAAAACAAACCTGTGGCTTGAGATTCGATGGCCTTTGGCCCCCTTCTCAGTGAAACTCAATGTGAAACATTGCCGGAGACGATGTGGACCTTGACAAAGCAGCAAAAGATCGCAAGAGAATGAAGACTCCCCCCCCACCATCTGCTAGAACCTGCGCATGCTGGACACACAAGCATGGCACCCAACGCTGCACACATCTTTGTTTTGGTTGTTTTTGTTGGTCTCGCATTTGCCGTGCCAACAAGGTGCAACAAGGCGAAGGCGAGGGAAGCATGCAGGCAGAATCATGGGCCCGATGTTTCACAATCTGAGGCCGCAAAAGCTACGCCGAAACGAGCGAAAACTGGCCCACCTCATCGGCCACTGCCCGGGCGGGAGGCGGCTGAAGGCCTGGGGCAAATGGAACTTGGGATGTAACTGGCTTTGCTGAAGGCTTAGCTCAGGAGAATGAGATTTCTCCAACACCTCCAAAGCTCATGCATGCGCAACACCCCCGCAGACCTGTCACATCCAAGTCCAAAACAAGCTAAGCCCCCACGTGCTCTGGGTGCACTTTGGGATTCACCCGCCTGCCATGGCTTCAGCTTGCGTGAACGACTTCTGGGACATTGTTCCAGGTGGCCAGAACATAAATAGAACTGGACGGACCCGGACCTACTCTAAACCTCAAAACTGTTACCATGCACTCCGAGCGGCGGCCGCGAGGGCATGGCGACGCCACGCTCCGCGCAGAGGTTCTCGAAAAGGGGAAGCACGTCCTCCGAAGGGTTCAGGGTGTAAGATTAGAGTTTAGGGTGGGCTCAGGGCTTGTCTGGTGTCTCCGCTGGCACTTTGACTCATCGCCAATAACTCACAGCACTGATTTCTTGTAGCATAGACCGATCGAGCCGAAAAAGCATGCGTATCTCGGGGGACAGAAACGCACCCTGTGTCACTGTGAAGCTCCAAACCTAATTTCCACATGGTCCTCCCCATAGTCTTGCAGCGCGTTGCCTTGACATCGCTCGGGGCAGAGTAGTGCAGTTGTGAGAGATTAAACCGATGTGCAGGGCTGATGATTTGGGCTGGATAGACCTGGGTCGGAGAAATGCAGAGCAGCTGTGCTGAAGTTTGAAAACTTCCGCTCGCGACGGCAGCTCTTGCTGTCATATCTTCGAGCACCTGGCAACCTGCTGGAACCTGAACTAGACCAATCACCTAGTACTTTTTAGAACAGGTGGTCGTTACGGCAGAAATGTCCTTACGGCAGAACGAGTTTGCCCATCTCTGCCCCAAGCCATTCCAATGCTTGCGGTGCGAGCGGCTCAGCGCAAACAGCAGGCTCTGGTTCTGCTCCCGGAGCCCCCTTGCCTGCGGAGTACAAGCAATATCAATATGTATATACAATAACATAAGATAGTATTGTATGTACACTGTACGTCCCAAGATAATATAGAATGATGTATAGCCGCTTTAAAGGAGGACCCCAGCGTCCCCAGCCCAAATAGCTACGTTGAAAGCTGCAAGGGCTATGCTCAGGTCACTTCACTCTGCTGAGGAAGCCACCGGCAGATGCATGCTACCGCGAATGTAGCTAAAGTAGCTAAAGTGAAAACGCTAAGAACTTGCGCGTGGAAGGCTCGGGGACACACACATCCAAACTGCTGAAGCCAGACTTCACAAATATGTCCAAAGGCTTGATTACAAGCAATGGCACGCGCTAGTTCCCTCGCATGGCTCCCTACAGACCTCAACACCAAAAACCCAAATAGCCTCCAATATTCCAAAGCGCCAAAGCCAAAGTCCTGAGCCCTCTGCAATGGGCAAGTCCCAATCAAGAGAACTTGAAAACAATCATGTGCCAAAGCCGACACGCCTGAATCCGGTGATTGTTTCCTTCAACCACCTCCCACACCCTAAACCCTATGAACCCTATAAACCTTATGAGCCCTACACCCCGAATGAGGAAGCCTTGACATCGACGGCCGCTGCGCTGTCCGGAGCCAAGTCCACGCCGGACTTCGAAGGAAGCGAGGTAAGTGAGTCAGGTTTAGGATTAGAATTTTCTGGCTGTTAAACTGAATTGCTGTTCAAAAAGACGCGGAGCTTGTCTACAGGCTTTAGGGTAAGGGCTTGGGCTTTCGTCTTCAAACATCAGGCCATCAGAAGCGTTAGCCTAGGGTTGAGGGTTTCGGGTCAATCGAGATGCTTAAAGTGTAGCCAGGTTGCGGGACACAAAGCCAAAAGGCGCAGTGCCTCCAAACTTGACCCGTCCTTCCTCCTGACATCCTTTACGACTTTTATTCTGTATGACTGGATTGTCCTCACTCGCGATAAATACCCCCGAGACACTTTCCCAGCGCAAGACCTTTGGTTCCAACCATGCCGGTTCTTGTTGGGGGCTCTGTGGGTTCTACGCCCAGAATGCTGAGACACACTGAGAGCACGAGCATCCTGCAAACCTGTCCCGGAGCCTGAATGGCCCGCGTCTGCGCATTGGCCAAGGTCTCAGGCGTTCGGCGTTCGGACTTGTGCTTCACGGGGTGGAAGACCACGCGTTGGTTGCTGCAATTCTTGCCCCTAAGTATCTCAGCGTGCGCTAAACGTCTTGTTCGTAGAAGACTCATTCGCGCAAGGAGGATGACCAGAAGCATGTGACGACCGGTGTCTCAAACACACAAGGGGTCTAGGTTTGGCTGTAGGATAGGGTATGAAAGGTTCTTCTTGAGTCTCGGGTAACCTTCAAACCCTTTAAAACCCTGAGCTTAAACCACCCAATCATTGCAGAAACCCTACAACCCTAAGCCGCAAAACCCTGAAAGCCTAAACCCTGAAACCATAAACCCTAAAACCCTAAAGTGTTGCGCGGGTAAAGTTGGAGCTTGGGCCAAGAAGAGACCTTGGGGAGTCAAAAAGGATGGTTTCTGAAGTTTAGCCAGCTCGAGCTTGCGGGCCCCTTTAAAAATGGCTCTCTGTAAGCGCGTCATCTGCGCAGCCTTCGCACGAAGCACTGCTCTTCCCAGAGACCAGCAGGCGTAGTAACCATGCTACGAACTTCTTGCCTACCAAAGACGCACTTCCTTGTGCTTCATATGGGCCAGGCAACTCTTCTCGAAATCTTTATCGTAGAATTGATTCACTATATAGACTTACGCCAATCTCAGAATTTCTAGCCCGAAGCCCTAAATGAGGTTCCCCAGGAGCCAAAACAGCGAACCCCAAAAGAAGGAGGAAAGAAAGGCGCCACGGAAGGTGCCTAGTTATTCCCAAGCCCTCTCAAGGATCTCAAAGCGAACAGACACAAAAAGGCTCGCTGCTTTAAAAAACCTGGCCTGCTGCGCGCGTTCGATCTTTGGCGCCTGGCTCAAGACCGCAGGCTGCAAATGAAGATCGTACATGAGACATGACGACCTTAGCTTAAACCTCCAGACTCCAGCCCCAAGCCCTTACACCCTAATCTCGTTCCGCACAGGATGCCACGGATCGACTGCGCTGAACCGTGGCGGAGCACTTCGTTGAAGTGACTCTGTCCAATGTTTCCACAGGGGTTCGTCGAAAGGCGTGTAAGACAGAGTTCACAGAGTTCTGGCAAGGTTTCAAAGACACGCCATCTGATATGCGCAAAGGAAGGCCGCATGTTCTGCCACTCTGCACTCAGAAGATGGTCTGCACATGTCTGCACATCCGGAGGCTCCGTAGGCATACTGCAGCCTCACAAGAAACTGAGACTAAGATCCATGGAGGCTGTCAGCCCCTCTCGAGTAACGGTGCCTGCCCGGAGACGTCCTGGCGAAGGACCTAGGCACCCGAGAACCCCAAGCGCCTTACTCTGCTCTGAAACTGAAATTTGAAGCGTCCCGGATTCGAAATGAAGCCTTTCGCTGCCAGCCCGATGATCCCTAAACCCTACTTGTATGAGCCCTGTAAACCCTTTGAACCCTATAAACCCCGGCCCTCTAAACCCACCCCATAAACCCTATAAACCCCATGAGCCCTACGAACCCAAGCCCTAAACCCTAAGCAACAAACCCTAAGCCCCATGAAGCTCCAACCCAAAGTGTCAAGTTCGACAGCGAGGCGACGCACCGGAAGCACCTAAGAACCAGGTTTTCCCGGGACCCGGGCATCCCTTGCTGCAGTCAGCTCATTCACCTGAGCCTCCCAGACAGCTTCAGGATCTTGGACTTAGAGGGTTTGGGTCTTAGGGTTCCAAGGTTTGTAGGTGTTAGGTTGTAGGGTTTGGAGGGCTTGCAGGGCTTGTCGGTGGCATAGGGCTTGTAGGGTTTTCTAGCCGGGTTTAGTTGGGTCTGTAGGCTTGCAGATCTGGCAGGGTTTGGGGGTTAGGCTGGGGTCGGGTGGAGAGGGGGGGAGAGTCTGAGCAGCGGTGCGCTTCCTCGCTTTGGGGTTGAGGATGACGGGTGCGTCTTGTCTTGATCCGACTACTGTCTCTCTGTTCCAAAACAGGAACCGCGTCCTCCATCTGCTGCATGGACCGCTGCAGCTCCTGTCATTACAGGGTAGGTCTGGGCTACAGGGATTTCGGCACACGAACCCTAAAACCCCTAAACGCTACCGGCTCTAAAGCAACTTGCAGGCAGCCGGTCTCGAACTCGTGCCCAACATAGGACGCTAGTACCAACAAAGAGTACACAGACGATTGGAGCTAGGACTACTTGGAACTCCTCGCCTCCCCCTTGTCTTTCGCCCACAAATCACCTGTGTGTTCCGCAGTCTGAAGCCGGAAGCCACAAAGCTCACATGAGATGGCGAACAGAAAGCCGGGCTATGTGGCTGCGCATCTAAACAAAAGATAATGAAACCTCCTGCAACTGGGACAAGGTGTGTGCGTGTGTGAACACCTGAAGCCTAACCCATACGATGATTAAGCTGTGAACCTGCAGCACTGGTGCACATGCGTGACCTGTCCTCGTAACGCTGTACATCCTCCTGGGCCTCGACAATGTCACAAGCAGGGCAGCGCAGCGATTACGAGTCCATCGGATGATCCGGGGGTTCGGGCTTGAAAAATTCACCCGACCCTCTGAACCCCAGATTGGAACAAGATCAACGTGTGGGGACTTGACGTAGGGCCGGGGGTATCCGAGCCTCCGCGAATACCACACGCACAAATTGCTACCTATTCGGTTGCTATCCGGGTTCGGAATCTGACCTGGGTGCCAATTAGGTTGCATCACTGCAAGGGTTCGGAAAACTTCCTTGGCTCATGGACAAGCCATCTTGCTGAGAAACTGGGCACTCAGCCTCTTGTTCGAGCTGCGTCAACACCTGCATCTATGCAGGACACCCCACGCGACGCAGAGGCACAAGTGTTGCAGTTAAGAGCCTCTCTGTTTCGTTGGTGAACCCAATTTTGCAGGCAAGGGTTCAGGTTGTAAAGATTCACAGCATGTGCATTAAGGCTCATGTGCAGAGATACTCTTGCTCCTTAAAGGGCAAGGCTTTGAAGGGCGAATCTTTGTATGACTGTACAATTTCGGCGCTTGCCGCCATGAACCACCACGAGCAAACTCTCCCTCATCTTGGCGTCAGATATTGAGGGGGCACTGCGGACAGTGCGCATTGCACAGAAGTATCACTTGTCCACAACAACTTCGTATCAAGACCTCCAACCCCAACAACACATGCTGACATGCCGCCAAGCCTTCTTCTTCTTGAAGAGAACTTCATTTGCCGCCCTCGACTGCTCTTCGAGCGTCTGTTTCTCCTGAATGATTTGCCATATGGAGAGCCAAAGAGCGAGTGCTTCAAACAGGGTTCAGGGACTACCCGGCAACACATGTCTTGAGAACCGTATCAGGTAACTATGACATTCCGCACCTTGCCTCGGCTTAAGTACCACCAGTACATGCAACGCAGGCCAGGTTGGATGTTCAGCGCCCAGTAGATGATTGCCTGAACCAGTCTTAAGAACGGAACCATCTTCCTGAGCACGATCTACCCAACAGTCCTCCCCCAAGAGCCCCTCCCCCCCCCCCCCGGCGAACCTCGAGTTCGGACTGGTTCTGCAGGTTCGAAGTCTGCAAGTTCTCTTTGAACTTTTGGTTGCGCTGCACCAGATGGCCCTGGTCAAGCCACTCACTGCTCCTGGTTTCAACCTGTACCTTGCCGTCTTACGAGTGATTTTCCACCCGCTGTCGTTTCGCTAAGACACGACGCTCCACCCCGAGCTGTTCAATCCTGTTCACCCAGTTTAACGCGCTAGCCACAAACTCGGCTAAGTGAGCAGGACTTCAAGCCTCTTGGGCTTCTGAGAACTGAGTGCAGCACCAGGGTGTTTTCCAGCGACCGAATCTCCTGTGTGAGAACCCGGCAAAAGGATCGCAACTTTGGCGTTAGAGGTTTGGGGGTTGCATGAGGCTTGATTCGGTGCCATTTCGAAAGCGGGCTAGTACTAGGATTACTGCTGAATGTCCAGCTCAGCTCGGAATTCCTGACCCTAAGCCCCAGCTGGGTGAGCACTTATCGTCCACTCCTGGTTTGTGTGCCTCACACAAATAACACCCCATGGCTCACGGTCCTTCTCTGCCCGGCGGATCTTGTCGTCGAGCTCGTCGCCCTTCCTCTGCAGCTCCTCCTTGTCCTGAGCAGCCTGTGGCGATTCGTCGTTTCGTCCCAGCTTAGATTTAGGAGTTGGGGTGCTGGGCCGATGACAGGCCACATGATCTCTGCTGCTTGATGTTGAAAACATTTGTTTGGCGATTTGGGGTCAGGATGCTTTAGGCCCGAGGTTTTCCGCTTATGGCGGAACATTCGTTACTGAGGACTTAAAGCAAGCACACCAGAATCACTGACAAATCCTGAATCCTCCGTGTCAACCTTCGGAGGGCTCTTGGATCTCGCATCCCTGCGCACCTTGATCATGTAGTGAGCTTGGCTCAGCTGCTCTCCACCCTCCTCTTTCTTGACCTGGATAGCATGCGGGAATTTCTGTAATCTTTTGCCAGCGCCGTCTTGAGGTCGCGAGTGTCTGCATGAGAAATGGAGAAGGTGCATGATAGTGGAAGCCATAGTCGCGCAACAGCATCCTTGCTTTCCTGTCCGCGCATGTCCTAAGAACAGGAATCCATGAGGAACCCCGCCATCCGAAAATCAATACCCAGACAGCCATGCCCACATCGCCCGTTATGGTTGAGAGTTAGGTTTTTGCATTGTTTGTCGAACCAGAGCCGAGATCAAGGTATAAGCGTTGTGCTCAAGTCAGTGATGGATGAGACGTCTTGATGCTGCTTTGAAGAGTGGAGCCCTGCCCATCGCAGGCTCACAGAAAAAATGCCTAGCTTGGAACCGACAGACTGAAGGGGCCAGAACAAGTAGATTGAGTTCGTTGACTAAAGAAAGATGAGACAAGTACAAGAATCGTCTACGGCGTGCCTACATCAATTTTTGGTACTACCTTCGAGCGTCATGCGCGCCTTGCACATAACGTTGTCGTACTTGCTCTTCCTGAGCACCAAAGGTGGTGACCATCTCATCTTGCCCCAATGGGTTTTTCAGGCACAGCTTGGGCCCGGAGAATACCTCTACAAACCTGCGGGGCCCTTAGAGGGTGCCATACAGGAGGCTTAGTTGATTCGAAAGGGCTATTGTTGGGTAGTTTGGGCTTTCAACCCACCAGGACTCTGGAGGGGAGCCGCTACTGCGACTCTGTTCTTCAAGATTCTCCCCCTTGTGCCCCACTCATCTCCCACAGGCATCCTACTGCAGCTTAGCTTGCCGGGTTCCTTCCAGCGAAGCTTTGCAAGGGTCACAGCAAAGTGGGCACGGGAGTGTCCAAAGTCTGACTGAAAGTAAAGAAGCCTCGGCTGGTAGATTTAGCGGAAAGAAGTTACCCCCACAATCCAGAAAAAACAAACTCAAGACCTGGAGCCGATCATTGAAGTCCAGGGCGCAAAGTGAAGATCTTCTGCTTCCTTTCTGCAAGCTCGATTGCCGCCTCAAGGAAGGAGTCAACCCTAAACCTCTCAACTCTCAACCCCTTAACCCTAATTGAGGGAAGAGCTGCCGAGACGCGAGCCCGTGGATTCAGGATTGGTGATTCGGGATCGGGCCCATGAGAAATAGAATCTACAGGTTCCCCCGTGGCCTGGGAGAAAACATCCGCCTCCTTCTTGGGTTTAAGCATACCAACCTAAGCCTACAGAAAAGGGGGAACAAGGACCAAACAAACCTTAAGCTCCACACCTTGTGCTTCTCCTCCTCCGCGGACCGAAGCTGTGCGCGCAAGACCTCGGTAGAACTCGGGACCCGCAGCCAGGCTCAAGTCCTCCCTTCAAGACGAACTTGGGGACTCGATGCTTGCGTAGTTCAGAGGGCTTTGGGGCCTGTAGGGCAGCCGCACAGGCCTTCGGGTTCGGTCACGGCGGCAGGGGCCTTACATAAAACAAATATGCTACATATCACTTCTTATCATATATGTATAATGGCGCGCAGTACAGCAGAGAGATTGGAACTGCCCCCAGAGCCCACATGGCACAGCAAAACCAGCGAATTCGCTCTGAAGCCGTGGACGGTTCAGGACCAATGTTCGCAGCTGTGAGTACGTCGTGAACCCTGGCTCCAAAAACGGCATGAACATCCCAGCCCCCTTCAAGTGGCCAGAAAGAGAAGGTCCCACTGGCCCGAACAGACAAATGCTCAAGCAAGAAGACTTACATGACCAGATCTCTGATTTGTGGCTTTTGGGTACCCTCATAAATATCGGTGGTTCGTGTCGCAACAGCACCCCAAACAGTCATAACTTCAGGGAGCACAAATAAATCCGCAATGCGTCGAGAGCGGCACCTCGGCATCCACCCTTCTTACGAGAGCTGAGCAGGACACCTCTGTGTGGACTTCGATCTCCTTCTCCCTCTCCTCTGGTAGCGTCGTGGCAATGTCAAGGTTTTCCGGGCAGCCTAGGATTTAGGATACCCAAAAGAAACATCCTTTATGTTCATGGGTAGTTTTGCAAAAAAGGTACACAGCTTGTGGTCCCAGCAGAGGATGCAAAGAAAGGGGCCGGCGGAGGCTCTTGCTTTGGGATGTCAGGTCCCTGTCTGAAGAACCTGTATACCCTTTCTCCTCATGTCCGAACTCTACAGAGTTCAGACATCAGGAGAATGGGTGTAGAATATAACCCCAACGAAAACCTGCAACCCATTAACCATGTGAACCCTACAAGCCCCAAACGCCCTAAAATCCCAATGACCTGCAAACCTGAGAACAACCCGCCCAACGGCTCCTCCATGCTGATCTGGAGCTGCTGCTTCCGGTTCTCCAGGCTATACCTGCTCAAGGAGATCGATATTTCGAGCCTTCGGGCCTTGGGCCTAACTTACTTCGGTCTTAGGATTTGTAGGGTGCAGGCTTGGTAGATATCGAAACGTTAACAATTTCCATGTCCAGCCCTAAGCGTCTCCAAACCTAGCACCCAAAGCCGCAGCCCTAAACTTTTCAAGAAGCCGGAGGTGCAGATTCTCGGACTTTGTGGTCAGCTGCTGTCGAAGCCGCTTGACCTGCTGACCCCAGAATGAACCGCCGGCGGATGCTCCACCCTCACCCAAGCAGAATTGGGTTTCGGCTGCGAGTTCTTTCAACGCACCACGGTAGCTGGAACGCAAATGTCGGAATCGCCCAATGCGCACACGCACACGCGCATGCGCGCACACGCGCACACAGAGAGAGAGAGAGAGACAGGATACCATTCGCTTCAGAACCCACGTTCTCCAAGCACAGGAGTGTGATGGCCTCTAGTCTGAGGATGTCATGCTGCATCATCGACTCCTCTTTGTCCTGGCACACACGCCACACCAGAAACTGGAGCAGAATTGTTTCAGCTGCTTCCGGATCCCGAGCCCTGAACCTCAAGCATCCCCAACCCCTACCGCATCAACCTATACCGTTCCCTAACGAGGCGGCACATCGGAGCCACAGCTTGGACAATCCTCGCTCCGCTCTGAAAACTACAAGGCTTCAGACTTTACTATGGCAACCATCATGGTAAAGAGTTTGAAGGGTTTTGATGAGCTGCAGTAGGTTCGCAGAGTCACGAGATCCACCAGCAGCCTAGTAGCCCGAGGCAACAACCAGAGACACAACCAGCACGACACGAAGGGAACGAAGTTCACATCCGCCACAAAGAAGGATCGGCCTCCCCTTTACATGCCACCTGTTGCGACAGCGTTTGCTGCCGCCAGGTGGCGTCTCACTGCCCTGCACCAAGCCCCCCGATGAGCGCTTTAGCGCATCGCCTCATCGTCATCTGCCAAAGTGCGAGGCAGGTTGGCCAACAGGGGCTGCAGTGGAGGGAATTTCGCACCATCAGTGCCACAACTCCAAGCAGTGTGAGCCCCACACCCGGCCAACGGTGTGAAGTTTGCTTTGCCGAGGCCGCACTTCAGCAAACTCGGGTAGGGCAAAGTTGCCAGGGACAAGCATGCTTGCACCAAGGCTCTGCTCATTCCAGCTTCGAGGACAAAATACCTTTCCAGCGTCTGGACCCTTTCAAAACTTCACCCCGAAATCCCGCACAGTTCTGGTGGAAGACCCGAAAGGCCCGAAAAGGCCCTTGGTACGAAGTGCCCTGGTCCTTGACCGTCTTTGCGACTGCACCTCATAGCATACTCAAGGAAGCGGCCAACAGCAACAGCAACAGAAACAGCGACCACCGTCCGACTTATGTTGACCTCATACTTTGCTTCAGCTGAACCCTTAACTCTCGGTGCGGTCGCAGTGTGGTGCTCATGACGGGGTACAGTGCTGCTGACGGTGGCAATATGTTGTGGTCAGAAACCATGACGCTCACGCAAACTTGAACAAAACATTCGCAGCGTTGCATAGACCTACAGCAAAACACAACCACCTCACGCCTTGCCACTCCCACACTTCCCTGCTAAACTGCAGAGACGCTTGTTGCGACTGCGGTGCGATTCATGATGGTGTTCTGCAGCTCAAGCTCTTCCATGGTGGTCTTCATGCCCTTGCAAAGCCATAGGGAACGTCAGGGAAAATCCACATACTTGCCTGCCATAAACCCATAACCCCAAGCCGCCTCGCAGTCCTTCTTCACATTGGTGAGGTATCGCTGTGAGTTTTTCAGCTCGGCGTCCTGCGCAGGCTTGGGCCTGGGGTGGCTTTGTTTAGGGTGTCTTGGGTTTAAAGGGTCGTAGCAGACCCCATAACAGATTTGGGAGGCCCTAGTTGTCTAGTTGTCAGGATGCCTTGCCATCTAGCAAGAGGCCAATTCAAGCTTCAAGGCGGCCCTTGTCAACTCTAACCGGGCGACTGTTCCCTGAGTAGTTTAGCTTGCCCGAAAGTAAATCGCGGCAGCCTCGTGCACTTATGGTTCCCTGTCTTCTGAGGGATGTCACCTTGTAGTCGGAAAGCTACAGGGGGAGGGGCTGTGCATAACGGTGCACTGGCGTTTTTGCGAAGCACTCGAGTCTTCCGGCCCACGGCAGATGGCCGCGCGTCTCAGGGCCGGTTTTCGCTTGCGGTATTCAAAGCCTTCCGAGAGCCAAGGCAGCCCTTCAAGCGGCCGCAGCGGCGATGGGAAACACATTGAAAGCTGCCTGCTTCTCTTCCTGAATCTCGTCGGGCAGAGATTGAGGCCGTGGGTGAGGGCGGCGGCCGGCGAGGAGGGCCAAGACCTCCCTGTTCTGTTTCAGCTCCTTGGCCCAGGAACGCACCTGCTTGTCCACATTGTCCACGAGATCCGACTTGACTGGTACGGGCTTCTCCTCCGCGCCCACCTGTAAGTCGACACCACCTACGAAGATGCATGTGGTGCGAACAGCGTTGCAGTCTGAAGCAGCAGCATTCCTCCGCTTGGCGGCAGCATCCAGCGTCTGCTGCGCAGACTTCGCATTTGCATTGTGAGACTCAACTGCTGCCTTGTGTTTCTCGACAATCTGATTGTACTTCTCCACTTCGGCATTGTATGATTCCACGGATGCGCTGCTGTACTGGTCAACGCTCTTCCGAGCAGCCTCGACAATGCCATGTTGCTTTTCTGCCTTCAGACGCAAGCCTTCGACGTGCGCATGCCTCTCTTGTTGAGTTGCACGCGACTGAGACATCAAATCACTTAGCTCTTTGTCCAGCTTCTTGAAGACGGCCTCTTCTTGTAGCCCCCTTTCATGCACGGCGCAGAGAGCAGGAACACTCTCGTCGGGGAAGTCTTTCGGCACCGAGAACTGAGGGATACAGTGCTGTAGCGCAATCTCCTTGGATTCGACGTGCTTCTCCAGCAGCCATTGCGTGACCGCAAGTAGCGCGACCATGCGCTTGCAGTGAAGCAGCTCGGGCACAAAGCAGGCTACAGCATCATAGTTCCGGCTGAGGTACTCGGCGACGCGAGCAGCTGACGTATGAGGTTGTGAGTCTTTCGCATCTTCGAAGGTGTTTGTCCTGGCATTGAAAGACTGAGCTCGCACTTCGCAGGCCATCTGCACGTCCTCCGGATAAATCAGAAGTGCGCTCTGACCCACAGGTCCTGGGTCGTTGCTGATCAAGCAAGCAAGCTGAAGCAACGATCCTGAAACTACCCTTACGAGTTCTTTCAAGGAAAGTGGTTGGACTCCACTGCAATGTTGAGCACTACAGGCCTAGAGTCGCGTCACCAGGCTGCGACAAACGATCCACAGCCTTGCGCAGCCAGCATCGCCCTGGGCGGCCTCTTTGGGACAAGTGATTTGGCTCTTCGACCCGCCAGAAAAAGGTTTGGGTCGCAGGTACTCAAAGGGGAAGTAATAAAGGGGGGGGGGGGGGGGGGGTGTCGAAGCCCAAGAAGGAGTTCACCCTCACACAACGCCTCATGCTGTTCAGAATGGTCGTGTAAACAGTAACTATGCGACGAGGGTATGGGTGAAGAGCCGGAGAGCCTATCTTCGCATAGGTCACCGGGAAACTGAAAAACCAAGACCTGGCAGACATCCCCCTTGGCACCTCCGGAAAATCAGCGGGAACGTCTGCTCCAAGTCTCAGAGCCCTTCGACGCCCGGTGGCGTCATCGTAGAACATGCCTGAAGCCCATTACAGGATCTGTAGTCATACATGCTGTATGCGCGTGTATCCGTACAAACATCAGTCTAACTCCAAACATTACTGCAGACCCGAAGGTTCCATGTACCTAAATAGGGGTATACTTGGGCCTTAAGGTACTTCCTATATAAGGACTTTGGGGCCAAAGTATATAATGACAAGGTGCAGGGACCCTCAGAGTAGACATAACTACGAACAAAACCATGAATGTAGTAAAAATAAATTTCACTATGAGTACATAAAACTAAATGCAGTAAATATGTGAAAAAAAACAGGTACATGCAAGCCCACATGGGTATTTTCATGTGCTTGCTGTATTTACATATTATGTACATGCATACATATGCTTGCATCGGAAACTCCGAGATGATGGACCAAAAACTCTGAATCCAAGACCACAAGGTTTCCAGGAGCACTGAGCCAGTGTCTTTGGGCCGCAGTGAACAAGCAAGTGCTTCAACGAGCATGGTTGAAGCATGGGCCCGTGGTGGGTACGTGCCATGTGTGACTTGGGTATGTAGAAATCCTAGCAGACAAAGCATGAATCCCACAAAGCCCTCTTGGACCGCTCGTGGCCTTGAGAAAGCTGCTTCAACTTCCAGTCGGCTCGCCACATCCAGTAGCCCAGGGGCATGTCCCGCAGGGTCGCGTCGGAGTACCTGATGGATGGGCGGCAGCAACGGTTGATGCTCCTTTTTGCCGAAGGGCTTACTGTAGCCCTTCAAAGACCGCCAAACCCCGAAAGCCCTGGACAAGAAACAAGCAACTCTCAAGCTGACTCTCTAAACCCCACGATGGCAAGCAACAAGCAGGAACGGAACCTCACTAGACCAGCCTTGTAGCAGTTTGCAGAAGCAGTTTTGTGTCATTTTGAGCCCTAAGGAGCCAAAGAGTCGCATGTAGCTTCCTAGAGTAGCCTGAAGCCCAAGTGCCACTTCCGCTGGAAGAGGCCGTCCGCCGAGCCAGCTCGCTCCTGAAACTGGGATGTTGACTGGGGCGACGGGGGGGGGGGAGACTCATTTGAGGCGAGGCAGCCTCACATTCAGGGTTGCGTTTCTTATCTTCCTGTACATGATGACACCGGTTCTCCCTTCCCAATTACTTGATTTCTGGCGAACCCCCCCCCCCCCCCCCCCCCGCCCAAAAAAAGCCCAACCCTAAACCCGAAATCATCTCAACACTGCCAACCCTACCAGACCCCCAACACTTAGCTTAACCCTACAGACCTCTCAACTTGTTGACCCCTCAACTCCTTAACCCTGAAGCCTCTTAAGTCGCGGAGGCTCCTGCCAGCGCTTCGGATCCACGGGGTCGAGGCTAAAGGCGACCTTCTTAGTCGGGGGGTGAGGAAGCTAGGCACACGGATCAGGCGAGGAATTTCGTCACAGAGGATGCTCAAGGGCTGAGGCTTAAGTCAACAAAGCTTCGACCAATCCGGAGACCTGAGAGAAAAAAAACATTCAAAAGTGACAGAGCTCCAACCAAACCCGACCACACTCCAAAGTATTCCAAACCTTCTCAAGAGCTCGCTCCTGAAAAGCCTCCCAGCTCGCCTGTCTGGCCCGGTGTGGATTCCGCCTCGCCCAGTCCAGGGTGGTGCCGATCCTGGGTGGCCAAGTTGGGCAACACTTGCCCCCACGTGCCCCCACTTGCCCCCCCCCCCCCCACCCCCCCCAAAGTAGGAGCTCTCGCGCTCTGGCTTTTAGAATTTCAGCTGGGAGGTCTCTCTGATGTCTACGGGGGCAGGAACCTCAGGGTCCGGACTTCTTTTGGCATTAGGTTGTGCTGCCCGGGTCTCTCTGTAGCTGTGAAGGCCATGCCCCGGCCGTCGGAGGAAGGCATCTGAAAGAGCAGGCCAGAAGGCTTGTCGTAGTGGAGCAGCAAGGCTCCGGCGACACCAGAACTTACCGCTTGGGACCTGGGAACCGCGGCCAAGTCCACTCCCCCCACAGGCCTTGCAGGCCAAGCCTTGCCAGCTTTCCCCTCCTCGGCATGGGCCGTGGTCCGGCTCCGTGCTGCGGGCTCGAAGGGAAGCGAAGGACGCCGCCCCGTGCGCTCCTTATGCTCCTTCATCTCTGCCGTCTCAACCTTGTCAGCTTTAACAGTCCTGGACACGTCCTCCACAAACTTCTTCATGGCAGCAAGTTCCGCCTCGATTCGGGGACCGATGGTGATCCAAACAGGCCCCACCTTCACACAAGCCGCGGTCTTGCTTTGGCCGCTCTGGCCGTTGCCTGGCCTCTGAGACTTGTCAGACTCAGGCTGCTTCATCATGGCAGTGCCCTTTTGGCTGTACCTTGTGTCTGGAGCCCTGCCAAGCCGTCCTGTAGAGTCCACGGGTGCCATGGCGAGTCGGCTGCGGCTCGAATTGATAGCTTTGCTGCCGACATTCGTGCATTCTGCAAGATGCTCTGGGGCTGCGTGGGTTTGCATGTAACTCCGCTCTGACTCATGGAACACCAGCTCGGAAAAAGACGACAGAGCCAAAATCAGACCACCACGCAGCCAGGTTTAACCAAGTAGGCATTGAGACTTAGCCGACAAGGGAGTGGTTGAATAAGTGGTAAAGTCGGACTTAGTGTACCTGCAGGCTTCAGGATTGAATGCGCCGCGCCGCACCGCCAAATTCTGGCCAACAAGCAACCCACTCGACTGAGTCGACGATGGCGGCTTTCTGATTCGCCAAGCAGAGCGAACCGGAGATCCGGCAGAGCGCCCTGCTACTTTCGGGTGGCATGTAGACTTACCGCTCGTGAGTATCAGGATTGGGCCCCAGGCAAGTCTCAGCCAGAAACAACGCCGATCAGCACCATGGAACCTGTGCCTGGAACATCAAGCCTGAAGCACAGCAAGACCATCCGCATCCTGGCGCTTGATCTGCGCAGACAGGATCGTGTGCAGCGACTTCTGCTCGTCCAGCTGCTTGTCGAGTTGCTCCACCTCGGCTGTTGTGAGCCTTGGGGGTGGCGATTCGCTAGGTCTGCTGTGAAAGTTTCCGCTGGCATGCGTCGGTCGATTAAAGCTAAACTGTGAGACAGCGGTGTCGGAATAACATGGGTGTGTGCAGTGTGAGCTTTGTTGTGGACTTCATGACCGTGCAGCTCTGCAGATGCAGAGCTGCGCTCTAGTTTGGACCCTAAACCCAAACTCACAACAAGCTTGAGGGTTGAACGTGGCATGCAGCTTCATGGAACAAGCCTCATGGTGGTACTTCTTGGCTACGATCCCTGCACGTACACCCGCCAACACACTTCATATCATTCCTATCTAACAAATCCTAGTCCTTGACGAGCAATCAAGGCCAAAATATCAACTCACTCAACACACGATACACAGCGCTTCAAAGATCAGCTCTTCCCGCAGCGGCCTTGCGATTGAACTCCTCCTTCTCTTCGATCGTCCGCTCTCCAGACACTCGAGCCACCTGCATAGCAACAGGTAGCGATTTGCGAGCGCGTGGTTTCTTCGTACGAAAGGAGCCAGAGACATTTTCAGGCTATGCATGAAGCTGCTTATGGGAACAAAAAGGGCTCAACAATTCAATTACACGAGGTTCACAACTCAACACAGAGCATGAGACAAAAGCCACACCCTGCAAATACTCTTGAAACGAGCTGCCTCCCCACCATCAAACCCTAAACCCACCTTGCGTTGCATCAGCTGCGACTGGAAATCCACAGCATAGAGCAACTCCTGTGAGGCGTAGCTTCTCACGAGAAGTGAGGTTTCTCTACGTCACCTTGAGGAGAGCAGCTCAAGTTGGGGGCTGTGCCTTCTACAAAAGGGTTCACACTCACACACATGCAGCAAATGTAGGAGCGCATGCGAAACATGCAGAGAGCACTTCGAGTCCAGGTACACCGAAGCTTGCAAATGGACTTTACAAAGGGTTGAACTGGCCGCCACTTGGCGAAGAGATGCCTCCCCGAAGCTGATGTGGACAACAGTCAAAAGCAGCAAGCCTGCTGCCGCTGCCGCTCTTGGTCGAGCTTGCTGATTTGAAGCTGCAGATTCTTGATGGCAGACCTGGAGGTTGTAATACAAGGTAATACAATGCATTGTATATCGTATGATATATATGCGCATACATATATATATATATATATATACGGCATCTATGTATATAGAGAGAGAGAGACGTGTACAAAGTCGTTTGTTCCCCACCCTCGGTGTGGGGGTTGTTAGATTTTAAACTCAACTCTTCTCCTCGCCCGGAACTCTTCTCCTCGCCCGGTCTACTCCTCGCTCATCCCTGGAGAGCCCAACCCCAAAGTGTCCCTGGAGTGCCCAACTCTAGAGCGTCCCTGGAGTGGCCAACCGCAGAGAACCCCAGAGGCCCAACCCCAGAGTCTCCCTGGCAGATTGTCCCCAGAGTGCCCAGCCCCCAGAGTGTTGCTGGAGTGCCCAACCCCAGAGTATCTCTACCAAGAGAGGGTGGGGATGTTCGAAGTAAAATAATTTCTTGGTAGGTATGCTTCGAAACTTGAGCCTTCCGGGCTGTAGCTGTCAGAGAAACAGAACGTGCACTCTCAGCTCGGCTGAAGGAGACCTCAAGGCACCTGCGAGCTACGCGCGATCGGGTCGCCAGGTGTCTGAGGCAATTTGCAGCTGTTTTCAGACATTAGCATGTCGGTTCCGAACCCCAGTTGTGCAAAGCAACTTGCCGCCCCCCCCCCCCCCCCCCGCACCCAACCTGAACCCACCCATATACGGGTGAACCCCCATACCCGAATTCTGCGGCGGCTGAGAACCAGGCTGGGCGCCGCTGATCGCTCCCAGCGTGGTCGCCTGACTTTCATGCGGCTCTCTGAGACAAAAGGCCCGGAGCCCCAAAGCCGATGAGCATCCAAAGCTCTGCAGTTCGGTTCCTGCCCCTGGCCTCCTAAGTAGCAGAAGTCAACTAGACTCAGGCAAAGAAGCCCTCAACCCCTGAAGCCCTCAACCTCGAAAAGCCCGAAAAACCCTAAGCTCTGAGAACCTCTAAAGCTCCCAAACATCCTCCAATTTTCGTGAACTCAGGACCTCCTCGGCACGGAGGCGGTAGAGATCTTGGCTCTCCTTGTAATGGCTTTCCTGGCCGCGGGCTCAGGGTCTAGGGTTTTGCGTAGGTGACCTATGTGTTTCCATAGTTTCCATAAGGGCATACTACAAGTATGGGGGTCGACTGCGAGTCCCCAGTCTAGATGCTCCGTGTAAAGCTCGGGTCTCGGGGGCGCTGAAACCCGAAACCCGCGTGGGTGGGGTGGGAGAGGGAATTCAGGGAGTGAGTCTTTGTTCGTGGGCTGCCGCACTAAGATGGCAAGAAGAACCTTGTTTGCCTTCACCTCGCAGCTTAACACACATCCGTGATCCGCTGTCTAACCTGAAACCCAGAACGTCGCTGCAATCTCCAAGTGCCTTGGCTGCTTTCATCTCCTTCTCGACCATTTTCCTCGGAAAGAAGAAACCACTGGGACCCAATGAAACCGATAACCTCCCTTGAAACTACTAATTCCATCACGGCCGGCCCATTTGATGTGCCTTATAAAGAAACGTAGTTACCCCCAAAAAAAGGACGAACATCCCTACTGTACCACCTGACACATGGGATTGCTTCAGGCCTTGAGCATTCCTCTTGGGATTCGTCGAAGCCCCTCCCGACCCAAACCTTTGACCCTACTGTAACAACCCTGAGATGCAACCACCAGGTACTATGGCAGCCAAAGTCATGTCAAAAAAAGGAAACTATGATGCCTTGATAAACCTGGCCGTCCGAGGTGCATGTTGTTGATCATCTCCTGGCGTGCTCGCTCGGCATCCTGGCCTGAGATTCGGAGCGGATGACCCTCGTGAAGTGAAGCACCGTGACGCCTCGATTTGGTCACCTTTTCAGTCCTAGCGCCCGCGCAATACCGGAAAGGGTTGCTTCAATAACTACCTCGCCCCAAACCCCAGGCCCGAAACATCGTACACGAAATCAATCATCGGATCACTTCTGCAAAGGCATCCGGCGGTCAAGTGCACTCAAAACCCTTTACAAAGGACTGCAGGGGTGCGGAAGCTGTGGGTCACGGCTCATCTGCTCTTTGTTCCGCGTGGTGTCTTGATGGTCTTGGAGAGCCTTGGGCGCTGAAAAGGAGTGGATTCAGGTGAGCTTGGAGCATCCCTCTGGGGAAGCTGGCTATTAGACAAGACCAGAAGCCCTACACCATCACCAAACCCCAACAAATGTGCTAAGCCCAGTAGCCCTCTTGTGCATCTCCAGCTGGCGGTATGCTTGCTCATGCCTTGGCACATCACCCAGTCACGAACACATCTCTTCTTTCAGGCGAACTTGCAAGTCCGTGTGTCAGATTTTCGGGCCACACCGCAAAGAAGCCACCTTTGCAGGCCCCATCCGCCAAGCACAAGCCTACTACCCACATGCAGCCACGGCTCAATCATGATACCATTTCCAGGCACGGTCCGCAACAAAACACCTAACAGCCCCACGGCCTGAAACCCAGATAGCCTTCAGCCACAAAGTCCGCCTTGATTACTCCTTGAACCCTGCTTAGGCTTAGAGTAGGCACCTTCCAAGCCTTCCCCTGCTTCATTGAAAGGAACCCCTTAGAGGAAGGGCGATAGGGGACGGGTCCGCAGTCCCTTCCTCTGTGGCCCTGCAAGAGGAACCGGGGATTGGGAGGGTTGCAGCCGAAGCTGCTTGTCTCGCCGGCTTTCGAGGCGTTGGGCACCAACCTGCACATGCTTCAAGGCAGCCAGGCTACAGAGTTCAGGGCCTGAGCTGGGATTAGGACTGAAGGGTTAATGGCTTCTGCACACCGGTGCGCAGTTTCGAAGTTCAAGGAGGCCGAACACGTTGGGTTCAGGCAAAAGCCCTTACGTATGCTCTCGGCCGGCGATCCTACACGAGCAAGCTCCTACAGCTCTTGACATCGCGGTCGCAGCTCCGACTCACCCCCGTGGAGCAGTTGCCTGGTGCTCATTCTCGGTCCGGTTCCTTTCGGAGTGGCACGCACTGACCTGGTTCTTCATCACCTCGACCTTGCAACCACAGGGCCACAGCTGTGTGTGATTCGGAGTTGCAGATGCACGCGATCTCCCGCTCCGTCTTTCAGGGACTACCTGCTTCTAATCTACAGCCGCATCCGAGCTGAGTCTGGCTGTTGCATGAGATGGCCAGAGCGGACAGATACATATACAAATATAAATATGTATATATATATATATATATATATATACTATATTATGTACATATATATATATATAAGTATATATCTGACTCCGAAGCATCCGAAGGGTTCGCCGTGTATCCGAAGAGAAGATCTTCACGTAGAAATGGCAGCTGGCTGTCGAAAGCGGCAGGAAGCTCCTGGCCTCATCCTTGAAGCCCGTCAGCGATGTCTTGGCTTCCTTTGCAGCCCAAAACTTCAAGCCCCCACGTTCCGGGTTCATGGGCATACGCAATGCCTCTCTGATCTCTGACGTGCCAATGACACTTCAGGGGAGTTGGATGAGCGCAGCTATGACAAGGGCTCCAAGCTGAAGGCGCCCTCGCATTGCGAAGAACCCGAAACTGCACACAAAGCTCAAAGGCCCCACAGCCCTGCATTGATTTACACAACTCCCCCTCCCCGCACAAAGAGCCCCAAATCCTGAACCCCAAACCCTGAGAGCCCCATGAGGAGCGGACCATGTGGTCCATGCGCATGCGGACCAGCTGCCTGTCCTGGGAACATGACTTGAGGATCCAGAAGCAGGCTTAATATAGGTGGGGCGGTTTGAGGCTTTGGGGCTTTCTTGGTAACCCTACAAACCCCAAACCCAGACTAGCTTGACGCATCCGGGTGCCCGGCAGTCTGTTGGATGGTTTGCTCCATCTTTTCGTTGTCTGCCTCCCGCTCGGGCTAAGGATGGCGAAGGAATACTGACGGTTGGGGGAAGGCACATACTGAGGATGCAGACGGAAAGAAAGGGACTGGGGTCCATGGCCAGTAAGTCACAGTGGTTCAAGGTCTCAACTTATGGGCTTCTTGGAAGTTGCTGTAAGGGCTCCGGTTCCCTTTCGTCCATGTTCCAACGGCCTCGACCTCATCATGGAACTGCTTCCGCTCCTGCCAGGGAGACTAACATGTCGTCTTGATTCTCCGCAGTTCGATCTTCTTCTGGGGTTTGGGGCAGGTGGCTGTGGTGTAGAATGCAGATGTATACTTTCAGGCTAAAGGCCGTGCACAGACAGGCAAATAAATCTCTAGGTGAAGTCATCGAATCGGCACTCCCTGCTCTGGGGACAGGTAAAAAAATCAGGCCAGGTTTGGTCACGGGACATCAACCTTGCCAACATCGAGGCTAGAAGCCCGGACATGTTCAAAATCCTCTAAGAAGGTATGTGCCAGATTGAAGGCTCCGTGTCTGTGTCTCCAAGCCGCCTTCATCTTGTCTTCCTTGACCTTCTTTCGGGTCATGTTCGCCGCGTACTCCTGGCCACAAGCATGGAAGCAGCGGACGGCATTGACATGATTCGGGCCAAATTGCGTCAAGCTCTTTACCGGCGGCGGATCCAGTTAGGATGTGCAAAAATAGTACGACCAGCTGAACATGCAGGTAGCAGACTTGCCCCGGGTTACTATATCGCTAGGCTGGGACGCCAGTAATAGAACAAAACGGCAAGGTGGATCGCACCGCAAACCTCAATAGGACAACGCATCGCACCCCAATCGATACGACGAACCCTGGAGCTTTCCCCCTCTGAGAACCCCACGATCCCCAAGCCCCTCAAACCTGTCAAGTCTTTTTACACTCGAAAAACTTTGATTAAGACTAAGATCTTACTCCCGAGCTACAGTAAAAGAGGGGGAATTTTCTAGCCTCCGAAGCCCAATACACGCGGAGAGCCTCGCCGAGGCGCTCCAGCTGGGAGTCCCGGCTCTTCATATCTGGGCTACTTGTGCGCTCAGGATGCTTCGGATGTTGGTGGCTCTTGGGTTTGGGAGTGGGCTAGGGATGGCTTGGGATGTGTAGGGTTTCAGGGTTTTCGGAAGCTTTGTGGTTTTGGGGGGCTTAGGGTTTTGGGCTTGTCGGGCCCTTCTTTTCGACATCATGTATTCAGGTGCCCATACCCATTGGCAAAAAAGTTCCCGTGCCGGTATACTTGTGTACAGCATGCATTCTGCATGCTGTGTAGCTTAAACTAAACACCCCAAACCCGACGCCCTTGAATCAGGCCTCCCCCCAGCGCCACGACCTCAAAAACCCTCAACACTTCTCCAAGGTGCTCTTGACTGACTCCTCCCACTGCTCGATGATCCTCGGGTCCGGTTCAGGAGTTAGACGGTTTACGAGCTTCAGGGATCGGTGCTTAAGGGTTCAACTGTTAAGGGGTTGTAGTTTAGGGGTCTTTGGATGCATTTAGAGGGTTTAAGGCTTCAGGGGTCTGGGGGCTTAGGGGTCAAGGGTTCAAGGGTTCAGGCAGGGCCTTGGGGCGTGTATGGGTCCTAAGTGCTGCAAGGGCACCCACACCATGCAACACCCCCCTCACATCATCCCGGATCTCCAGTCCGGACCTCCCACAGCGGTCCAAGGCCACGACTTCTTACGATCGTCATGCAGCTGGCGGAAAAGCTCTGCTGTCTTGTCCATCTCGATCTGCTTGGCCTCTGTAGGAGGCAAATCACGGTCCTAGTCTGAATACTTTCCAAGGAAGCAGCTTCGGCTGAAGAGGGTGAATCAACCTGGTCTCCTTACAGCTGGTTCTTCTTGATCGATGTGGAGAGGCTGTTGATGGTCAGCATGAAGATGACATTTGCCCCACTAAAGTCCAATAGGAGAGTGGGGGGCGGGTTGAGGTTTGGTGCTTCTTGGAGTTACACCAATGCAGAAGGCGAGAACTACTTGAGCGCCCAGCACTTGGGGGGTTCCGAGGCCCCACCATGAGACCTTGCCTGCGTGTCGGTGACAAGGTCATCCAGCTCCTTTCGCCGATTGGCGTTCTCGACCTGGGCAGCTCGGGCAGCTTCGGTGCTCGGGGAAAAAGAGTTCGGGATCGGACTCTGGGTCTCAAATCGGCCCCCGGCGGTGAGCTTTTCTACCGTCAGCGTCAACTCGCGTACCTCCCAGGCTTCGGCCGCTGGGCTTAGTTTTTAGGACGCTTCGGGGGGACGTTTTGATGTTCAGTAAAGGCATTGGAGCTTTAGGGTTTTTGGGGGGGTTCAGGCTTCGTAATTGAGTCCAGAGTTCCATCAAGTTATGCCTGGCACATGCTAAAGCCAGTACTGGGTACCCTCAAGGCCATCAACCTGAGAATGAGCCCTCACATGCGCATGAGGTGTGGCATCTATTCCCATATAGCCTTATGGAATACTGAGTTCCTCAACGCCCTTCCTCAGCCCTTCCGCGAGTATTGCTTGTAGTCTTCCGAAGATTTCCCAGGTACATTGCTTCCGCGGGCGCGACGCTTCAGCAAGCTCATTTCGTAATTCTTGGAGGAAGTTGCTTCCACAACTAGGCACTTCCGGGCGTGGCCAACGCTTGGGCGGCGGGTCGGAGCATGGGAATTCCGACCCTGGCACTTGGGAGTGTGGGGCCCGATTTTGTCAGAGCTCCCGTCCAACATCGCAATCGAGCAGAACTCCCTTAATTATGATCCTTTTCGATAACACTGAAGCATCTAGAAACAACCCAGGCTCTTGAAATCGCAGTGTCGCAGCACTACTTGCAATCACAAACTGTTGCAGCGACATTTACCCAATACATCCAGAAACCATCGCTTTCGCCGGGGCTTCCGCGGAGACACGCTACCGCAAACCCTTTCGCATGCTTTCGCAGCCACGCTCCTGTGCAGTTTCACGCACCTGTTCCCGGAACTATTTCCACACGCAAAAGAAGCGGGGCTCACCAAATCTCAACGGAGCCAGAGTTAAGACCAGCAACGCTGGCGGTTCCTTTTTCTTGGATAGGCATGCCGATCCGCTCGACGGCGCGCCAACACGCAGCCGGAACGAGCAATGGACATGCGAGGCTCCCGTGAGACACGAGTTTATAAGCAACACCATCGATGAAAGCTCTCCCGAAAGCCCCTCAGCTCCTCACAACCCGAGAAGCTCGGATCTCATGGACTCATGGGAGCCGCGGTGTGGGAGACTGCTTGGCAGGTCGACAGGTCCACTGCTTAAAATCCAGGGCCCGCATTGCTCAAAGAATCTCAGATTCGCTCAACCCTACAACGTTTGGTTTCAGGATGTAATCACAAATTCTAAGCGCTTATGAACATCTATGGTGACGGTGGGCGCTCAAAGAATTGAGAGATTTTAGCACAGAGCTGCAGTCATCTCATGGCCAGTCAACCACCCAGCCGTGAGACGATTCTGGCCTGATCTTGTCTGACAGAGGCTAGGTTCAGACGTCTCAGGTAGGACCTTCGTAAATTTGCAGCGCTTACAGCACCTCCTTCCAATTTCTCATGATCTTGCATCTATCTCCGACGACCCTGCTGCAAATCAATTCGGTACCCCGCGTGGAGCTCACGTAAGAGGCTTAGACCATCAGAGTCTCTGCCATCCAGGGGGCGCACTCCAACTCCTGCCATCTAAACGTCTTAGCTTAGGATTTTCCTCTTTAAGACCCTAGTACTCATTATTGTCATTCTCTTAATTTTCTTCATGCACTATGTTAGTTTCTGTCTGTATACGTTCTTTGCTCCTCATATTCGTGATGTCCAGTATGTTCATTGTATGTGTTGTATTTGTTACGTTTGATATATGCATTGGGTTCATTGTACCAGTTGTCTTGGCTATGTCAACAATACTTTCCGAGCGTAGTCATACTCTTCCTGGTCAGTTGATTAATGACCTTTTCGTTTATTCTTTAATGTACCCGAAAACGCCACATGTCAGGCTCTGCGCTGCTTATTGCCGCGGAAATCCCAAGACAACATATCGGAAGAAACATACGTGAAATAATCATGTGCTTGAAGCCGTTGCCTAGTGCAATGCTAACCGAAGTGTTAAAGGATATTGCGACAAGAGCCTCTGTACTTGGGGCAATCGAGCGATGTTAAAGCGACTGTAAAGTCGACCGGAATCCAAGATCCAAAATCCAAGATGCCTCCAGAAACTTTTTCAGGCTTCGGCATCTTGGATCTTGGATTTTGGATGGGCCGGGGCGGGGGGGGGGACTTTATGTTCACTTTAAAGTCGACCGTCAGGGCCCACATGCTCTAGGCACCGATGGTCCGGACAACTTCTGTCCACATGTCCCCGTTCCCAAAAGGCCTCATCATTTTTTCTTTGGGAAGGTACCAAGGGGGGGGACCATATATATATATAGAGAGAGAGAGATATAGATATATACATACATATACATATACATATACATAATATGGATTTTTGCTGAGGACGGTACCTGAGCAGGGGCAGGCTTCTTGCTTGTGTCGAGGTTGGTTCTAGGCTTCTTGTATCGAGATTGGTTCTATGGGGTACCATATATTGATAAGGGCGCACCCGCCCCCACCACCCCCCCCCCCCCATGAGACCCCATGGTACACCCCACCTCCACCCTCCTTTGGTGTAAGGTTCAGGGTTTAGGGTTTGAGTTTTAGTGCTTCGGGCTTAAGCTTGGTTTAGGGTAAAAGGTTTGGGTTTAGGGGTGGTTGGCTTAAGGTTTATGGGAGTGGGTGAAAAAATTGGAGCGCGACATCCTTGGGGGGAGAGGATGAACCGACAACCTCCCTCACATTTCAATCCCCACCCCCCGCCCCCCCTCAGCCCTTCCCCTTCAGCCCATGTTCTTGGTTAGATTTCGATGAAGAGGAAGGTCAAGGGGGGAGGGGCGCGTGGGCATCTTCCGCACCGAGGGCGGCGCGGGGATTGAAATCTAACCAAACACTTGGGCTAAAGAGGAGGGGGCGGGAGACGGATACCAATGAAAGGAGCGGAGGGGGGGGTGGGGGGGGGTAGGGTGCTATACCAGGGGGGGGGGGGGGGGGGGGGGGGGGGGGGGGGGGGGAGGGGATTACCACGAAAGAGGGGTAACAATGTATTTGGTCAATGCGGACAAGAATCTCGGCCTCAGGGCCCCAGACCATAAATGAACAAATAAATACATCAATATATATATATATATATAGAGAGAGAGAGATAGAAAGAGGTGCGAGTATGTACAGAACATATTGTGTGAATATATATATATATACAACTTCTAGGACGTTCTCAGGACCCCCGACAAGGCGCCGGTCGGCGCGCAGGCGTCTGCTACGACATTATGGGGGGTCTCTGGTTGTCCTTATACTTTATAGGGTACCATGTGGAACCCTCACATGACATGTCCATGTTTAGGGGAAGTCATTAACAGGTCAGGTTGTCTGCTATACATACGGGCACAGAAAAAACTACGTTTGGGAGAAAACCCTGTGCCGCGGGAACAGTGCGACTCGATGCGTTGATTAAGGCACGATACTGCTACCAGTACTACTGGCACGCCGAGATTGCTCATTTTTAATTACTCGCGCTAAGACATCTTTAGGTCTCAGATGCTCTCAGCCGGCATACAACCTCGACGTCTTTGGCCGATGCGTACGTGAGAGCGGTCTCATCATACCCGTCCTCCTCCCAACTCTTGTCCGCACCAGCGTCCAGCAGCAACTGTACAATCTCGCCGTGACCCTCGGTAGATGCAAAAGTGAGAGCTGTCTCACTGCACTTGTTTCGCAAGTTCTTGTCGGCACCAGCGTCCAGCAGCAAACGTACAATCTCGACGTGGCCTGTGGAAGCTGCACGCATGAGAGACGTCTCCCTGCACCCGTCCTCCAGGTTCTTGTCGGCACCAGCATCTAGCAGCAAACGTACAATCTCCACGTAGCCCCTGGCAGATGCGTACATGAGAGCGGTCTCGCTGTACCTGTTCCGCAAGTTCGTGTCTGCACCAGAGTCCAGCAGCAAACGTACAATCTCGATTCGGCCCTTGGAAGATGCGTGCATGAGAGAGGTCCAACCGTCCCTGTCCTGCAAGCTTGCGTTGGCACCAGCGTCCAGCAGCAATTGTACAGTCTCGCCATGGCCCTCTAAAGATGCGTGCATGAGCGCGGTCTCACCGCCCGTGTTACGGAGGTTTTTCTCTGCTCCAGCGTCCAGCAGCAAACGTACGATCTCGACGTGGCCCTTGGAAGATGCGTGTATGAGAGAGGACCAACCGTCCCGGTCCTGCAACTTCTTGTCGGCACCAGAGTCCAGAAGCAAACGTACAATCTCGACGTGGCCTGCAGAAGCTGCGTGCATGAGAGCAGTCTCCCCATACATGTCCTCCAAGTTCTTGTCGATACCAGCGTCTAGCAACAAACGTACAATCTCGACGTGGCCTTTGGAAGCTGCGTGAAAGAAAGCGGTGCCCTTCAGGTTCTTGTCGGCACCAGCGTCCAGCAACAAACGTACAATCTCGACGTGGCCCTCGGAGCATGCGCGCATGAAAGCGTCCTCTCTATCCCCGGCACCAGCGTCCAGCAGCAAATGTACCACCTCGACGTGGCCCTCGGCAGATGCGTGCACGAGAGGGCTCTGCCAACCTGTGCCGTTCTTGTCGGCACCAGAGTCCAGCAGCAAACGTACAAGCTCGACCTGGCCTTTGGAAACTGAGCACATGAGAGCGGTCTCTCCGTACATGCCCCTCTTGACGTTCTTGTCAACACCGGCTGCCAGCAGAGCACGTCCCACTTCCACGTGGCCTGTGTCGACAACATACTCAAAAAACTCGCGTTCAGCCTGAGGTATCTCCTCCGGGCTGAGGGCGGACAACAGCACCAGGTGCAGGTCAGCGGGCCCGACTAGAGGATCAAGATCCCCTAAACATCGACCAGCTTGTAGCTGGGAAACCATGCTGGCTTCGCAAGTGGCATTTCAACCCGATCACGTCTTCGAAGTCGACCGTGGATGCTGCAAGCAGCTCTTGCCCGGAAACCCTCCAAACACGCAGCATGACGTGGACCTAATGGGCCTCCCTAAAAACAGATAGAAGTGCTGGCCTGAAACCTTTAGGGCTTAGGGGTACTATTGTACTCAGAACTCATAATTAATACTTCACGTGGCGTCTGTGTAGAAGCTCTTTCAAGCTTCGATAGGTG